TAAAACGTATTGCTATTTGTAGGTGGATGATGGCTAGCTGTCTTTATAATGTAGTTATGCAGCGATAAAAATGATGATGTATCGTCGATTTCAACACAACATTTGAAAAAAGCGGTTACGGACAACCGGGCGGCGCGCTGAAATTTCGCCTATCTCCATACTTCATAAGGATCACTGGTTCTTATGAAGTTTGAACGCTTAGGCTCCATCCATACCTGACGATGAGAGGTATGGGAGCATGAGCGATCGCTAACAACTCGACTCCCTTCTGGCGTCAAGAGGCGTCAGAATGGATATACAAGTTAGATTCAATTCTACACACGTGCTGAGTATGTTTTGAGAAGAAATTTTTTGGGAACAGTGGTTTGAACTAAACATAGAAAGGGTTTGTATAAAGATCACCGATATCAGTCCGAAATTGTCCACAGATCTGATTAACCACAAACGAGACCATTGGTAAGCAGGATGATAAGTTGAAGTTTGTATTAACAGAGTGTGAATTTGACTGAATACTTAGTAGTAATGTCTATATCCTGGAGGCTTGTTTCAGGTAACAGCAGTCAATAAATGGGTATCGCAGTGCGTAGCACTGTATTAGAAGGATACTATTTATATTCATTTTCCTATTCGGCGGCGTAGCAGGAACTCCCAGAGTCTTGCCTTTTCTCTTGAGCGAGTATCTGAACGTCGTGGGGACTTAACGAACTATAACGCCTCTCAAACGGCAGGCTCTGACTTCGTCCAGTGCTCCGCTTACTGCTTGTCTTCAAGCTGGGTGCGCAAGCCCATTGAATGGACATGCTAAGGCCAACAAGGAAGAGCAAATTCCTTGAAGTTTCTTCAGGAAATCACATCCGATTTGGAACGAAATAGTGGTGAAAGAAGGTCACATTCACTCAAACATTCTTTATTCCATATTCCAACGTGAGTTACACCCCTTTTTCAATGCAGTGACATCAATGCGTCGCCCTGATGGTGTTTACGACTTACACCTTGAAGTAATCGGGAAAAACTGAATGACACATGGTCGTAATTGTCTATGAACTCTGTGTGCATTCACTACCTTGCGCAGCCCAGTTTGAAGAAGTTTGAAGTTTGGAGAATGAGCGAAGCTAGAGCCTAGCGCTCCGTAGGCGCAGTTTCCTTCAGGACGCCTAATTACTGCTCGGAAAAACGGCAAGGCGGAACTCCTGAGCGCTCTCCCCATCTTTATCTATCTCAACAAGTTATCTAGCATTGATAGTAGATAGATATTCTTATAGTTGTATATCCATGAAACCTATTTTGATCACATAGTTTTCTAACTGGTTGCCATTTTCGTCTATCCTTTTCACATCCCCATTTTTGGAAAAAAAACTTTCAAAAATTGCAAAAGGGCAGTAAAATCGCAGCTTGACGCCAAAAGAAGTCGAGAGACTTCCAGTGACGTCGAATTTTCTCTGATGCCCTGACGCCGTCGGAAGCAGGCCGATGCCATCATCGCACCGTGGCGGCCCCATCGCGATAGTGTCAAACACCAGGGAAGTCGCATGCCACCCTAAATATGCACCTTGTGCGTGAAGGCCCTAAACTATGGCTACCTGTCGTCACGTATGGATGAAGCCTTATAAACGCAGTAAAAATAGGCCGATTGAAGGTGCGTGGCGGTTTGCCCTGTTGAGTACCGATGCGTAATTCGGCACTATCCCAGTTTGTCCACCTTTCTTTTCTAACGTTGACTTGCTTCTTCCTTTAAAATGTGTTAAAGTTCCCAGAAGTGGCAGCATGTGCTGGACCGAACCTCCGGCAAATTGCTATTTGGTTGCGTTGCCGCGCGGCTATCGGCCGATCCTTATCGCGCTTATAACCATCAAAAGGATTAGCCGATCAGAGTCGGCCGATCCGCATGAAGTACGGAGATACGCTCTGAATTCCGAGCGCGAAAAACTTGAACATCGTCCAACTTTACATTTCTCTTCTTTTTTTTGGGGTATCATTAGATCGCTCAAGCAAGTGTTTGGTTGCTTATTTCACTACGGAAGTACAACAACGGTCTTTGCGCTCGCGATTACGTGGGTGAGATTGCATGAGAAGTGAAGAGCACAGAAGCACATAAATCTACGAAATCGCGAGCAACTGACTAACGCCGATTACCTTAAAGTAATCAAATACCTGCTAAAGTGGTTTACTGGCACCGTACCTAGGAAAGATGGGAGGTTCACAGGAGAAGCTGAGGAGTGCTATATACCATCCTTCTCGGCTGCAAAAACAGCCGATTTTCAAGTCTCGCACTCATAAGTCCAGAGGTTTCTTCATGGATCAAGGAAGGGAGGCACACCAAAGGCTACATAAAGTAATTTACGCCGCATGTTTTTGACAACTAAATTAGCTCTCCAGCGCTCTTGGGCCATAAGCGAAGGGTTCTCCCCAATGCTTAGAAAACGCCACAGAGATGGCACTGTCACCCACGAGCGTTTTCCGTCTCTGATCCGAGCCCTACATCCATGAGGACTGCCCGGCATTTAAATGTTTTTATAAGCGCAACTAGAATCGGTGAGGATGCCGCATAGATCGCTAGCAGCTGAAATTCAGCAATCAGCGTTTCCAAGAGTCGAAATCGTTGCGGACAGACAAGTGCGCCAGCGAGGTATGTGGACGTAAAGGTCAATGAAACTAATGATAGTTGTTTGAACCTCATGATAGTGAGGTGTACGGGTTACTTGTTTTGTCTACAGTTTTTTTGCAACTTTTTGAAGTACATATTTTCACAACAGTTAGGCGTTAAGTTTTCTACGAAAGAACTTGAAATGCGTGAAAATGGGTCAAAATACGGATTACATTGTTTAGAAGCTACAGAATAGAAGGTTGCATCAAGCTACTAAGCCATCATATTGCATGACTCACAGAAGGGGATTCGAATTTGGCTGAAAATCTGTTCTCTTTATAATAAGCACCTCGGCATGCCCTTGTTCTGGAGGAAATCGAACCAATACCGAAGAAAAAGTGTGGCATTTAGAAGCTGGACTGATTCCAGCTACATCGATCTTTGCCGAAACGCAAACGTGCCGCACCCTCAGCCAGCCAATCCTTATTGCGCTAATAAGCGTTGTAAGGATTGGCCGATCTGAATTGGTTGTTCCTTATGAAGTTGTAGATGCCCGAAAGCGTCGGTCCGGCACCCTCATATTCGCAGCCTGTTGTTGTATTGCGTAAGGATTCAATCATGCACAAAACTTCTGATTCATTATCAAATTGATGAGAAGCCTTTCAGCAACGGAATTTACACATTAAAATTAATGCTTTG